ATCAGCATCACCATATTCGGGATAATCGTTTACCTGCTGTTCTGGAAGTAAGTTTTCCATGGCTGCTGTCGGTGAGCTGGCATTGAGATGGCGTGCGTTGACTTCCGTCGGTTGTTTGCACCCATACCCTCTGTGCAGTGTTTTCTCGTCTCGGGACTGACTCGGCTACAGACTGCCGACGATAGACTGGGTCGGGGCGGCATGGGACCGAGGCCGCCAGGGCACCGAACAGTCAGCCTCAACTACAGCTGTAAATGCAACTCTTCCCTCACACGCGTGAGAGCGGCCAGAATGGGTTTGGCGAGTTCAAATGAAAACCGCCGAGAGTGTGCGTTTCATTGTGTACTTAAGTGCGAGTGCGGGTTACCGCATGGTGACAGTTGAGACGGGTTGGCATTTGGAGAAGGATTGTAACTGAACCAGAGGGAGAGACGAAGCACGGTGTGACGGATGGGATAAAGTGACGGTGGTAACGACATCACGGTTTGGGCCAGCGGCGTAGCTTCGCGAAACGAACCGGGGAGGCAAGCCGAGGGAACGGGAGATTCAAAAGAGTTTTCGTCCCCCATTCTGACTGAAAAGGACTCTACGCTCCTGGTTTGGGCAGTGTCGCATTCTGGGCTTGATTGCAGTGAATCCAGGGTAACGCCTGAGCCACCGCTTCGGCTGGAACAGCCTGACAGTCGGAACGGGGTGGTAGTTATTCCCATATGACAGCCGCGGCAGAGGACAGCCGGTCCGCAGTGAGGTCCGTCTGATTGTGCCGGCCGGTCCGCAGTGAGGTCCGTGTGAGTGTGTCGGCCGGTCCGCAGTGAGGTAGTGAGGTCCGTGTGAGTGTGCCGGACGGTCCTCAGTGAGGTCCGTGTGAGTGTGCCGGCCGGTCCGCAGTGAGGTCCGTGTGAGTGTGCCGGCCGGTCCGCAGTGAGGCCCGTGTGAGTGTGCCGGCTGGTCCGCAGTGAGGTCCGTGTGAGTGTGCCGGCCGGTCCGCAGTGAGGCCCGTGTGAGTGTGCCGGCCGGTTCGCAGTGAGGCCCGTGTGAGTGTGCCGGCCGGTCCGCAGTGAGGTAGTGAGGTCCGTGTGAGTGTGCCGGACGGTCCGCAGTGAGGTCCGTGTGAGTGTGCCGGCCGGTCCGCAGTGAGGCCCGTGTGAGTGTGCCGGACGGTCCGCAGTGAGGCCCGTGTGAGTGTGCCGGCCGGTCCGCAGTGAGGCCCGTGTGAGTGTGCCGGCCGGTCCGCAGTGAGGTCCGTCTGATTGTGCCGGCCGGTCCGCAGTGAGGCCCGCGTGAGTGTGCCGGCCGGTCCGCAGTGAGGCCCGTGTGAGTGTGCCGGCCGGTCCGCAGTGAGGTCCGTGTGAGTGTGCCGGCCGGTCCGCAGTGAGGTAGTGAGGTCCGTGTGAGTGTGCCGGCCGGTCCGCTGTGGGGTCCGTGTGAGTGTGCCGGCCGGTCCGCAGTGAGGCCCGTGTGAGTGTGCCGGCCGGTCCGCAGTGAGGCCCGTGTGAGTGTGCCGGCCGGTCCGCAGTGAGGCCCGTGTGAGTGTGCCGGCCGGTCCGCAGTGATGCCCGTGTGAGTGTGTCGGCCGGTCCGCAGTGAGGTCCGTGTGAGTGTGCCGGCCGGTCCGCAGTGAGGCTCGTGTGAGTGTGCCGGCCGGTCCGCAGTGAGGTCCGTGTGAGTGTGCCGGCCGGTCCGCAGTGAGGCCCGTGTGGGTGTGCCGGCCGGTCCGCAGTGAGGTCCGTGTGAGTGTGCCGGCCGGTCCGCAGTGAGGTCCGTGTGAGTGTGCCGGCCGGTCCGCAGTGAGGCCCGTGTGAGTGTGCCGGCCGGTCCCCCATGCGGAGCGTGTCCGTGTGACGGCCGGCGCCGGTCGGCAGGCGGAACGGTAACCAGGTGGACGCCGAGCGCCCGGGCGTGCCGCGCGCCGCCACGAAGGTGGCCGAGTCGAGCGGCAGCCAGCTGGGCGGCCGGGAGCGCGTGCCGGGCGCCGTGCTGCTGCGCCGGCAGTCCACCGGCCGGCAGACGTCACCGGGCCAGCAGCCGTCGCCGAGTCGGCCGGCCGCCGAGCCGTGGTGAGCCGCCTCCGCCGCCGCCGCCGGCGCGGACCGGACGGTGCTCAGATTACCCTCGGTGGAGCCGTCCCTCGGCGGCACCCGGCGCCGTCAACAATGCGGCGAGTAAGCCACCAACGAATACTGTGCGCGTTACGTTCGGTCGGTCTTGCATCTCACACACCTGCTCCTCAACAACTTAAAAAAACACCTTCTGCCAATCAATGCATACTCGTACATATAATTGCCTGTTGATTGTGGAACGGGTTGGTTGTTGTTTGTAGTTATTGAACGCATAACCACACTGTCCGACACCCGCAACTATTTATGAACCCCCAGGACGCCTTTCGCGGTGTTAACCGAAGTGAAAACTGCTATGAGCTAGCATCATGCATATGTAGCTAAAACTGAAGTGAATGGTGCCGGATATCTTTGCTAACCCATGTAGGTGTTGCCACTGCAATAACGTCCCTCCTTTGTAAGTTCAGCAGGCATTGGCGCACCAATCTTCAATTTGCGGAACACACTTACAAAACAACGTTGTTTGGATTCCGTCCTGTTTTTTTTTCTGAGGCTAGGCGACCATACTCTTCGTAATCGCGAAGTTCATTCAATGGCGCCTGTAAACCCTCGTAGTGCACTGCGGTAGTTTAGGGGTGAGGCCCCACACACGGAGGACCGCTCATTGTACAGGACTGAAGCCCATTTATTGACGTTACTTGGGTTGTATCGGATGGTTTAGCCATTATGATCGCCACGGGCTGTTGGGTGTAATGGTCGTCGTCACGCCAGGCGCGTCTGCCTGTCGTATGTCTGTCTCGCCCACATGGCGCGCCGTCAGCGCTTCTCTTTGACTTAAGTTCGGTGTGAGAACTGTTAAAAGGGGTCGGGCGTACAGAACAAGTATTGAGCTAAATGTATCGGAATTGACGTTATACTCGGCTGCTTCATGTCGCGTTTCCATGTTTCCGGCGCTCTCAGCGTCGTAAGTTACCCACAGTTTTGATCGTATCGCGGACCAAGATGAATGCGAACAGTACTGCCTTACTGTCATTATCGCAGAGTGCTGACCCATGACGCTATGCCAGAAAACAGCGCGCACATGGCATATGTTTCCAAAGGTTTGCTAGAGGCTGAAGCGGCTTTCTGTTCGATTTAGGCAATATCCACTGATAAGTTGTGCCTAGTCCCTTCCGTCGCCTGTCAACGTGAGGTAAACGAATGCTGCGAATTACTAGCACGCCCGTGTCAGGCAACCCAAATTTGACAGCTGATTCCCAAAGTTTACCATTCCCATGTTGCCTGCCATGTTTCCCTGAAAGCGCAACGTCACTCTCACGCAACTGTCTGTGGAAACCGTCGCAGCCCCCCTCCCGGACGTTCGCCAAGTGCGGAAATGCCAAACTGGTGACGTCGGATGCTGCGACCCTCCCGTCGGCCGACCGAGACTCAGACGCGCAGTGAATGCTGCAACGGAGTGGTAATGATCTCATGCTCACATCATTGCAGTTCTCAACCAGTGTGCGGTTTTTGTGGTGTAATAAATTCGTAGCAATGTCTGAATGTTCCTATCAATGCGCAGCGCGGCCAATGACGTCAGATCACGCAGGGACTTCCATTGGTGAACCCACCATTGGGATTGGGGCGACGCCGACAGAACCATTCGCGTCATGACAGTAAGGGACTGATTGGTAGGCCGATTTGAGACCGATTATGGGAACATGACCGCCACCACTTCGAATAACGTAACGCAAAGCCGCAGTGGATGTCATCCATGTTTATTCACCACAGAAGACGGTCTTGACACTCGGCGCCTACGAAGATGGCATGTCCACACACGGCGCCCGGTCCGATGCAGCTCGACGGAGGTCGACGCCGCGACCATACCGATGGGCGCGCACCGCCCCCGGCGCAGGGTCACGTGACGCGACACCATCCGGCGGAGCACACGAGTCAGCGGACGCCCTTCCACCGCGACGTCACCCGAGTTCCTGAGTCACTGGAGCTCCGACTACAGTCAGCAGAGCCCCCGGTGCTCCTCCCGGCGACGGCTCGTCGCTGGAGCTGGTGACGTCGCCACGGCGCTGCCGGCGTGGGACGACTCCAGGCCATCCTGGTGTTGACGCATGGTCGGCGCGCCATGGTGACGGCTCGTCGCTGGAGCTGGTGATGTCGCCGCAGCGCTGCCGGCGTGGGACAACTCCAGGCCATCCTGGCGTTGACGCATGGTCGGCGCGCCACGGTGACGGCTCGCCGCTGGAGCTGGGGATGTCGCCGCAGCGCTGCCGGCGTGGGACGACTCCAGACCATCCTGGTGTTGACGCATGGTCGGCGCGCCACGGTGACGGCTCGTCGCTGGAGCTGGTGATGTCGCCGCAGCGCTGCCGGCGTGGGACGACTCCAGGCCATCCTGGTATTGACGCATGGTCGGCGCGCCAGGGCGCCACCCCGCTCCCGGACGCATACACGAACAACGTCCAGCTATCAACTGATGAATGAACCGACCAAACGCGTCACGCACTACGCGCGAGCCGCCGCCAGCCGACGTCGAGGTCAACGAACAAACGCGACCGCGAGTCCCGGCTCCACCAGAGGGGGCGGCGTGCAGCTGTGCTGGGGATCCTCGAGGAACCCTCGGCGGTATTGACTGGACACAGCCGCGCCGTTCGTGACCAGCTGACCGCCGCCGGTGCTGGACGCTTTCCAAGCGCGTGGTGCCCGTTTACGGGGCTTCAGTCCGTAGCGACGGCAAGGGCAAAGAAGGGACCCCAAGCAGTGCGGACAGACAAATGAATACACGATAAACAGCCACGCACATGTTTCTTCAGCAACACTGCCGATGACAAGAAACATATGCGCCTGCTGGCAAATATTCTGCACTCCTCTTCGTACAAACAGACACACAACATGCGCGCATAAGCACACACACACACACACACACAAACACACACACAAACACGCTCGTCAGCAACCACGGCACGTGACCAGCTGAGTGGCGCTGACGCCGGGCCGGCAGCACAGGCTGCTGGTCTACGGCCCACGGTCGACTAGTCCGAATGTGAGCCGCTGCCACTGCCGCTGCTGCTGCTCGAGCTACTGGATGCCGAGTGGGAGCGGCGGGGCGCCGCCGGCCGGGAGGCGCGCGTGGCACCGCGGCCGGCCCGCTCCGCCGGAGACTTGTCTCGGCGCCGGCCGCTGCCGGTCTCGCGGCGTCGCTCCGTGCTGGCATGTCTGCTCTCCTGGCGGGCTTCCCTGCCCTGGCGCCGGCCGCCCGTCTTCGCCGGTCGCCTATCCTCGCGCCGGTCGGGCCGCCGGCCGTCCGACGAGCCGCCGCGCCGCCGCCGCGCCGCGTCGCCGCCCTTGCCTTCGCGGCCACCGCTCGTCGCTCGCGCCTCTCGGCCGTCCCGGCGGCCGCTCGACTTGTCCGCGGCACCCGGCTCCTTCTTCGCCACCGGCGCCGCTTCTGCCTCGTCGGTGGCGACCGTCGCTGCCAACTCCGACTGCGAGCCGGGCGGGTCGCCGGCGCCGGCCGGAAACGCCCCTTTGTCCGTCGGCTCAGCGTTGTCGGCGGTGACGGCCGCCGCCGCCGCCGCCGGTTCGTCAGCGCCGACGGTCGACTGGGCCTCGTCGCCGGGCGCTGCCGGCTCGGCGGCGACCGCACCTTCAGCTGTCGGTTCGGGGGTAGGACTTCTGGCCGAGCGGCGGCGCGCCGGCTCCGGGCCGACCCGCCGGCCGCCGGAACCTTCCTTCTGACCGCGGTGGCCATCTGCCTCTGTCGTCTCAGCGCCATCTGCCTCTTCCATCCGCTCCGCACGGTCGTCCTCCATCGGTTCGTCTCGGTGTTCCTCTGACTCGGAGTGACCGCCGTTGTCCTCCTTCTCAGGGTCCGGAGAACGCTCCCCTTTTTCCGACTTCGGGCGTCGACCCACATCCTGTCTTTGCTTAGGTCGACTATCCTCCTCCATGTCTTCCTCAAGCTCAGGACGACCATCCTCGTGCTCAGGAGGGTTCTCGTCGTCCTGCCGCTGCGAGGTCTGCTGTTCGGCGCCGGCTCCGCGGGGCACAACCACGGAGCTGACAACGCCGGCGGTGGCACTCTCCTCATCCTCGTCCTCGTCCTCCTGATCGTCATCTGGGACACACGGCGGACGGGCATCACTCACCGGCTGGACGCCGTCACGCAAAGTCCGAGCGCCGACACCGGCATACGGTCAACGCGACAGCACAACTGCAGCCAGTTCACGCAAACGAGGCTTATTGCCAGTCTCCCGCCTTCCAACCACCACTAATAATTCGTGTCAACGGACGAAAGAAATCCCAAAAACTGGGAGCAGCAGGCGTGGCTCATAGTCTGCGACGTCGGCCGCATGACTAGTCGCCTCTGCCCACGCGAAGTGTTAAAACGAACAGGGGATACCAGCGGCTGGCAGCGACTGAGCGTGGGCGCGCGGCCCGGCAGGAGCCGCTGCGGCGCGGTCCACTCACCGTAATGGTCGCCGCCGCCGTCCGGCGCGGCGGCGGCGGCGCCCGGGTCCTGCAGCCGGTGCAGTCGAGCGTCAAACAGCGCCAGGTCGTCCTGCAGCTTGCGGCGGCGCTCCTCAATCGATTCTGGACGGCAGAGGATGACGTCACCGGGGGCGTCCCATCAGCTGTCAGTCCGCGGTCAGCTGAACAACCGGCTCCGCTCACTCGCGTCATCATTCAGCGGCGGAGCCACGTCTCCTAGCCACCTTTTCATACTCGATCTCCGACACGGTGTGTTAATATTACATGAATCAAATCACTGCGCGTCCGCCAGCGACCCGATCTTGTCTGTGGGCTTGGAGACGCCAAGTGAAAAAGATCGACATCAAGCATACAGCAACCTCCACACAACACTTCTCCGCGAGAGCCTTAACAGAACGGCTAATTTCGGCAACTGACAGACTACTGGCAGCCTGCCTTCCCCGCCCAACACCCGACTGCCGCACAAAACAACAGGTGACGCCAGCACCCGTGTTTGAGGCCCCAACGCGGCAGCGTCGACGGCAATGCGCCGTCACGATCAGCTGCGGCCACCACAGCCGTGCAGCACTCACTGGCCAGCTCCTTCTGTGTGCGCACCAGAAGCGCGTCTGAGTTCGGGTGCGGCAGCTTTGGCAGGAAGAAGATGTTCGGGCCCTTGCCCGACGTGCGGATGAAGTTCATCAGCCGCTTGTGATGGTTTTCCCAGCCTTCCTCCTGGTGACGCTCGATCAAGTCAGCTCCAATCATCAGCAGCGGACGCTTGTGCCCATGACCAGCAGCCAGCGCCGAGGTCCGTACAACACCTCAGCGGTCCCGGGGTCAGAGGGTGTGTGATCCTCGGTTCAGGCGTCACCATTCCCATACTAGTCAGGAGCCGTGAATGCACAGATTGGTGCACCACACACTGGTGTTGACTTCCGGGCCTCGCGAGAATGCACAGCACTCTGTCACGAAATGAACATGCGCGGTGCTACACCGTACACTGTTGCTGCCCATCTCGAATTCAAGAAAAGTACAAAAGGCCGCAAAAATCATATAATCGTTAATTTTGCAACATACTGTATTTCATTCCGCACCATGTGGTACCAAGGTACAGGATCATAACCGGTCTGATATCGATAAATGCCCAATGCTCCGTGACAACACAAGACACTGATCCACGGCTCGTCGGCGGGCACAGCTCCTCTGCCGCTGTCGGCACCCTCACCTCCTTGACGCGGGCCATCTTCAGCTCGATGAGCCGCACCTCTTGCTGCTTGCGCTTCCGCTCTGCGAACATGTCCGAGCGCTGCTGGCGTAGCTGGGCTTTCTCTCGCCGGGCGGCGTCCTCCAGGCGCCGCTCGATCTCGGCCCGCTTCTCCACCTGGCCGACACAGCGAAAACAGCATGCAGGCGGCCCCTCCAACGCAACAGAGCTTCCCCATCACCTACACCATGGGCAATTGACAGGCGTTCGGCAAAACTGAAGTGAAGTGAAGTGAAAACTGAACTGAAGACATACATCCCAGCGAAGCCCCCTTAGCGCGGTTCCATAACAAACCATCAACAACAGAGCCTACTCCGCGCATCTGGACAGACGGCACCGCCTCGCCGTACCGGCCCTGCTCCGTCTCGGGTCCGCCCCGACCCCGCAGCCAGAGTTCACACTCCGAGCGTCTCACCTTGTCCTTCTGCTTGACCTCGTCGCGTCGGAAGCGCTGCAGTGTGCCGAGCAGGGCGCCGAACATGCGCCGGCTCCTGGGGACACAGCCGGGTCCGGCGGCCGTGTCATACTCCGGCCAACGGCGGCCGCGTCACACCCAGCCAACGGCGGCCGCGTCACACCCGGCCAACGGCGGCCGCGTCACACCCGGCCAACGGCGGCCGTGTCACACCCGGCCAACGGCGGCCGTGTCACACCCGGCCAACGGCGGCCGCGTCATACCCGGCCAACGGCGGCCGCGTCACACCCGGCCAACGGCGGCCGCGTCACACCCGGCCAACGGCGGCCGTGTCACACCCGGCCAACGGCGGCGTCACCCGGCGCCAGCGCCAACAGACAGCAGGCGCTACAGGCTTTAAAACGGATATTGTGCAGAGTTTAACGACGGTTTCCTGATATGGCTGTCATTTTGATTGATTTTTAGTTTCGATTCGAATCCCCTTAACACAGTTCCTCCATCCGCTTTCACACAGTACCAGTGTTCATCGCTTTTCCATTACGGATGCAGGCCACCTGTTTCATATTTCTGATAACTGCCTCGAGGCAGTTCTGGGACATAGAAATACTTTTACCTACCATGAAATTTGAAATTTTGCGTCCTGAAACCGTACAAAACCTTGTGCTCACCTTTTCTTGACTACAAATGCATTGGGGTAACGCAAAAAATAATATGCTGGACTTAGGGTACCGCGCTTCCAGATTTTCATTGATGATATGGCCCATTTGTTAAATCAATTGATTGCACGACAAATGAGCCCCACGTGCCACCTGGCCCAGCAGTGCGGCACCGGAGCTCCTTCCTGACCCGTACTGCAGCGGCACCCCAGCCACCATCTGAACCAGTATCCAGCCCCAGCCGGCCCGTACTGCAGCAGCACCCCATCCACCAGCTGAACCAGTACCCAGCCCCCAGCCGGCCCGTACTGCAGCGGCGCTCCAGCTGCCCTGATCGGTGACAGGAGCAGCCTCAGCTGAGCAGAGGCGTGCGGCGACTCTCACCTGCCGATGTTCTCCTTGTCGGACTTGCGCTCCTGCAGCGCCGCCTGGCGGGAGCGGCCGTCGTCGGCCGGGTCGGGCGGCTCGCGCGCGCCGGCCGGTCGTGGCCCGGGGATCACGTGCGATGGCACGGACGGCTGCCGGGCCACGGCACACTGTCAGCACGGGCCGGCCCGCGGACAGCCGGCGGGGAGGGGCACGTCCGGGCGCGGCGAGGCGGGAGCCGCCACACAGGCGGGGCGGCAAGCTGACTGACCACGGCCACCGACGCCAGGTCCCACCAAACACAGCCGGCCGGCCCGAGCCCCTCGTGACATTGTTGCCAGTATGTCCGTCGTCGGTGTGAGTTGTTGGCAGTAAATTGTCATGCTGCCATGTCGAATGATGTAATATTTGGCTCTTGCGAGACAAATCATCAATTCTCCAAGACTTTGGAATGAACTGCGGTTAAGGTTCTCTGCCTGGCCAGAACCAACCCGCGCGAAACAATTTTATAGTAGGAAATAACACGAGTTAACGTTTATTTCGACGCCTTTCCATGTTCGCATACTGTTGGCAGGCGCCCACTGGCCGGTCCAGCCGCGACCTGGACTCACCCTGGGCTCCGGCTCCTCATCACTGACACTTGCCCTCTTCAGTCGGGGCCCGATGACCTTGATGCCGATCCTGAGGGTACGTGAGCGTGATCAGCTGAGCAGTACCACCGCTTACGGCGGCGGCCCGATCAGATTTACAAGTGAGTAAAACTTTGATGACTGGTGGGGAGGACAGAAACTAGCTACCGGCTTCACAAACGATCAAAACAACAAAACAAGTGCTCTAACATCGCTAAAACTTACAAGCCAGAATGCCCGGTCTTCACAAGACCCTGTGAGGGCCTGAGTCTGCTGTACTCACCTGCCATTGGCTTCCTCTGTAATGCGCCGTTTAGCTGGAGGTCCTATCTCATCCCCTCTGGGAGGATCTCCATCAAATCTGTCCCGGCGACGGCTGAAATCACACTCAGCACCATTAGACAATTACATCAGCTCTATGTAGCTGCATGCTACACTGATCGTAGATTTACAAGTGAGTAAAAGTTAGGTGAAGTACCACAGGATTACTTGAGTAACCCAGGAACAAAGACAGTTCAAGTTTTTGCCGTTCATTGAGCAGTGACAGTGGTGTCCAGCTGGGTACTTTCACAAGCCCAAAACTCGGCCAGCACTCACCCGCGGCCATCCGAGAAAGGCCTGCCACCAAAATCGCCGCGGCCGTCTGTGAACGGCCTCCCGCCAAACTCGCCGCGACCCTCCGGGAAGTGCCGGCCTCTGAGCTCGCCGCGGCCGTCCGGCAGCGGTCTACCGCCCGGCTCGCCGCGGGAGTCCGGATACGGCCGGCCGACGAGCTCGCCGCGGCCCTCGGCGAACAGCCTGCCACTGCTCTCATCGGCCGGCCGGGTCCCGGGCGCCGAGATTCTCCGTCGGATCGGCCTGGGACGCGACACGGCAGGTGTCCGCTGCAGTCTCGCACGCGCGGCCAACCACTACATCGCAAATCCACCGACACAGCTCCAGTGGTACAAATGCTGGTGCATGGTTGTTGACAAGCTATAAATGGCCATTTAATATCAGTACAATATTCTGTTTATGAAAAACATCAAACTGACCAAAGCAGACATACAGCTGAGAGAAATAGATTATGTTCAACCAACCCTAAAAACATAACACCAGCAATGGGAGGCATTCTTTAAACAATGCCAGCCTTACAAGCTGATTGATCAATATGAAAAATTAACATTTTTACCTTGGTTCTGTTGGGTCTCTGCCCAGAAATTTTTGCAAGGTCTCATGCACTCCCTTAAGATTTGTCTTTGCCCTGTCCAACTCTTCCTGCAGGGCTGTGCCGAGCTGCTCAGTGGATGTCATCTTGGTAATGTTTGTGGAATTCTCAAGCCTTGCTCAACTGAAAACAGGCATACCTCTTTAGAAATGACAAAGAGGGTAGAGCTTCCTTATTCCCTACCACAGCAGCATGGTTCCAAAGAACCTGTGCTAGGTTTGGTTATCTTGCTTACAACTGACATGCAAGACATATTGAGATATCCCACATTAAGTGCTCAGCATCACAGCCAACTGCTTAGCATCACCAGATCTGATCACTGATCATCACCTTAGCCAACTGCTTAGCATCACAGATAAGGCTGGAAAATTTCCATGACCAGCACAGATTTACAAAACCAATTTGTTTTTGTTGTAAGTGATGTATATGTTGAAAATCACCAAACATTTTCACTTTATCACTATGGAAGCTGATACCTGCCTGCCACTTAATGCTGCTGGCACTAACTCCTGATTCTCTTGGATGGAGGCTGTATGGAGATTGGCATCACAATTATGATGAAGGGTTTAAAGTACTCATCCAGAACTGCTCTGTGGTTGGATTTTTGGCCACTTTCTGGTATCAGAGTACAAAAATGTTATGGCAGCTGAGGATTTAAATCAAATCAAATTTGTCACTTAAGGATGCAAAATTAGAGCCAGTATTTCAGGCTTTACAAGAATATACTTTTAAGTCAAAATACATTGCTATAAATAACCTATATATACATATATAAATATTACATAAATAAATCAACAAAAACTGCTGGGAGACAGCCGCCTCACACTGGCAGACGCCAGGACACCAGAGGAACACGAGCCCATAACTTTGGCCTAGCAAGTTAAGGAGAAGGGTTTAGTGGGACAAAAACATCAGTGGATCATCACCACATTGGGACAACCATCAGCAACATAAATTATCATATTTTGCAATGATTCAGGTTAAAGGGCATCAAAACCCACACATCTATTCTATTATTTGCTGGAGTTGGTGGAGTGACTGACTCCAGTCCCTTTTGGCCAGCCTGGATGGGTCTGATAGGCATTGTATTTGTGCTGGTTTGGTTTGGTTGAGTGGTGCCTGTCTCTATTATTCTGCTGGGACAAGCCTTGTGTGTTATCTAGGAGGTGGAGGGCATAAATGTTTAGCCATTTTTAAAACTGGTTAGCTGGTGCAGCGTGAGTAGCATGATCATAGTAGAGAATAAGTAGATAGCCATCTGTCATGTTCATTTCTATTTTTGTGTACCCTTTTTCTCTGGCTGTGTGTATCATAGCCACCCCCCATGTTGGAAGGTGATTAAGCCCAGTGTGCAGCCATCCTTCATTTTGGAAGGTGTATAAGCCAGGTGCATAGCCACCCACCCTTTTGGAGGGTGAATATGCACAGCCTTTCATAAATTGCAAACCCATATATACGCACCTGTGCTTCATCATACAGAGTCTGAGACCGTCTTGTTTCAGTCATGTTCAATACTGATGTTTCCTTTCAACTAGTGTGCTAACATGAAGTGCTGTGCATGAAAAGTTTCGCTTATGTCTCAAAGATAAGCTAAATAAAACCGTACTGGCCCACGGCACTTGGATATTTTTCCGCGCTCAACTATAGAAAATTCGTACTCCGCTACCAGGAACACTTTTCGACTTTCCAACACTGATCCTCAGAGACCCTCGTCTCAGGACATCAACTTCGGGAATATTTCAGAACAACCGCTACGCACCTGCGCCGCATTTTACTTACCGTATATGTACTAACTAGTAATTACGTATCCGCAACCGAAGCCGCGCAGAAACCGCAGAGACATCACCGTCCACGCGTCGCTACCGTCTGACGGCGAACACGGCGCAAGGCATCCATCGGATTCCGTACAGGCGGTGAAGGATTTGGCAGCCATGCGTGCTCACTGGATAAAAAAGATGTTACTTTCCCTTTGTACTTACAAGCGCGGAAGCGTGCCGAGACCGCTATCTCCTGATCTCGCTCACGCAAGTATGCGGAATTTTCTTCGGGGCGGAGGGAGGGTCCACAACGTTAAGTTTCTCCACAAGGCTGCGGATTTGGACTGAACTCCTGCAAATCGTCCAGCATTTGGTGTCAATTCACTGGTGTGGAAACACGACCCCCGTGCCTCCCCCCTCTGCCGCGTACCTGACCTCACTGGTCCATCAACATCGCAAGCTGTTTTGAGATAGCGCCTCCAGCATTTTGCCTACCTGACTTCCTTGATAGCCCCACCGATTACCGCCTCAAAGCACTACGTGCCAAGTTCTCGTCCACCTTCCTCGCGCCGCCCCGACTTTTCTCTCTCGTCTGAGCACTGGTCGGGTGGCGGTAAATGCCGCAGGTCCGGGGACAGTGCATCATCTAGCCGCCGGCCGCGCCATCGAACGGGTTTACGGTGTGGAATATGTCGCGAGGCATTTGGAAGACTGCCCGCTGGGACGGCTCGCTGCCGTCCAGCATGCATGGCTCGCTGCCTGCACGTCACGTATGGACTGAAAGGTTCGTAGATTTCGTACACCTCCAGCTGCCTATCGCTTACACCGAACACATCACAAGCCACGAGTACGTCACCTTGATATATTGACACATGAAAAACAACCAACCAAAGCTTCGTTGACAATGAGGTTTCTGACGCCGTCGCACAGTGCCACTGCGCCGAGCACACAGCACATTTGTCTCCTGCGAGCGTTAACACACAACGGATGAGTGACGTCACACTGTCGAAGTCACGGCGCCAGGCTAGCGACTGGAACGCATCGTCGCACTACGATGCACCTGGGGCATCTGTCGCGGAAGGCATGAAGAGACACGACAGTGGCGCAGGGCCATCCAAATGACGACGCCCGCGTTCGGCACGAGGCACTAGGCACGATTCCACAGCCATGCTATGTTGGCGCTCCACAATTCGTAATGCAACTGTACAAGGCATCGCAAGGCACGGAAAACGCGACGGGAAACAAGACACGGCTGTCTGACGACTCCATCCGAACCCATCCATCTGCTAACATTTGAGCAAAACAGTTGATGTCTCACACTTCGCGCACTTGTACACAAGACAGCCTGTACAGATGGAATGTCAAGCGTTCGTCACAATGGCCAGGCGAATTTCAGAGCACGCGTGACGCATGAGTAACGCACCGCCTGCATTTCGCGGAACGTCCATTTCTCGGCTTGGAGCGCTCCTTGAACGTGCGACGCACCTGCAATGCCCTCGAACACCCCTGGCTTGAGACGCTGCGTAACGCCGTTGCCGCCATTACGCAGCGTGATTCGTGACGTAACACATGCCAATAGGAGCCCGTGATACCATGCTCCCGATTCACACAAGTACCAAAAACATCAGTATTCACAAGTACCAAAAACGCCCAATCATGAAAAACGGCCAAATAATGTAGAAGACCAGCGAGTGAGAAACAACTTCTATTTTTTTTCGTCACCGAGGTAGTTTTCGACAACTGACACTACTAGTAGCGCTCTATATAAAGCCCCCTCCCCCGCAACGTTAGTCAAGGCACTTGTGCCTGTTTAACATTCAACACCGTCAAGCCAACGGACAAACTACGGCACACTCATGTACAGCTATACCGAAGTGTCGATACAGCATATGAAGTCAAGAAACTTCTTGGTCCAAAAACAGCAAAAAAGAGCCGGCCACTATTTGATACACATGTCCAGCAAAAAGCCGCGACACTCCTAAAATGCAATAAGACACGGAAGTACGCCCAACCCTTTCACGACAGCGTCTAAATACACTGTCTTTCCTCACATTCGTCATCCAGTTCCCAGTCTCTTGCGTGACATTAAGTAGCATTGGTGCCAGAACAGCCTCCAGCGCGCAGCGCAGCCGGCCAGTTTCGATCAAATGCAGCGCGCCCTTCGGTCGCCGATCGCCTCAGGGACGCAGCCCTGGACGTAGCCTCGGACCGCATACCGCGGGATCTTCGTGCCTGGCTAACCCACCGCCACCGCCGCCCGCTCCAGGCAGCACGGCGACATGCCGGATCCAGCCTCGCCCGCGCCTACGAAACCGACAGCGAGCTGGCGACGTTGCCGAACGAGTAGTAGACGTCATAGTTACCGATGGAGCTGGTGAGGTTGACCCGTGGGGGCGGCTGCAGCGAGCCGGCTACCGGGGCCGGCGGCGGCGATGGCGGAGGCGGCGGCGGCGGCGAGGTGACGGTGGCTTCCACCACCTGCTGCAGAACGTCCGAGGGCGGTCGCAGCGGCGGCGGTGGCGAGCCGGCCGGCTGGCCACCGCCGCCGCCGCCGCCGCCGCCGCCGCCGCCGCCGTCCACGTTGCACATGTACTCCACCTGACCGGTGGCATCGCGCACCACCACGTCCACCACCGAGAAGCCCGTCTTGCTGGGGCTCTGCGGCCCCGGCGAGCCGGCCAGCAGTCTGCGGCGCGGTGGGCGGTGTCAATGGCGCTGTCGCCACGCACCCGGCACCAAGCCACAGCTCCAGACTACGCCCAAAATGAATTTTTTAAATACGTGATCGAAGCGTGTCGATGCCAAAGTTGCCTTCGAAAAGTCGTAGCCTTCTGTTTAGTAAATTGTGGTACATTCCTGGTTAAGCCTAAGGGTGCATTACCAAGGCTCTATTCAGAACAAAAGAAAAACATGAACATGGCCTGTACATGACAACAACGCCCACATACCCACTCCTAAATAGAAAAACGAAGTAACGTCTACAACAGCTTCGTGATGATACATTGAAACAATCGAAACTCTGTGGAAAAACCTACACGAATGGTATCTAAGCAAATTGCGAACATTTTTTTCAAGTAATCCAAGCAAGTCTTATAAATGCTACATATGCAATTCATAGGTCTGAAATCATGGACAACTGCATGCTTCAAACAATCAAAACGTCATTAAAAATACGCAACGATACGTCTAAAATCATCAAAATGTCGGAAAGAAGGCAACAGATGGACAACGTCGTCGGGTGGCCAGCCGTCGCCGGAGCCCGCCTCGGCAGGCCGTGGCGTGTCCCTACGCCAGGACTGACCTGCGCTTTCTGGAGCGCTCCTCGTGGTGCGAGCGCTCCAACAGCTTGCGGTGCTCGTCATCCGAGAGGATGACGATGTTGCCCGTCTGCGTCAGCCGCTGTCCGTGCTTCGACTCCAGGTGACGCCGGTACGAGTTCTTGGCTTTAAAGCTGGAACGAGCGAAAATAATATAAAATCATTCTTGCAACCAAACTTGTTCCATTTGTAAGCAACGAACAAGCCAGTGGAACATGTTGGAAGCAACACATTAAGATTTTTTACTTCGGACAGGCGAAACAAACCAGCCTTCCCATTCACAGTCGCACTGAATTCGAAACAAAGGAGGACGGGGGGGGGGGGAGGGAGGGGCTTTCTCCGGGCCCAATACAAATAAAGCAATGCATGAAACGTTCATGCATAGCTGCGCTAAGACAGAGCAGGATTTACCATTCAGCCTTTTTAATAGTCTTTTCAGGTTTAGTCACCCACAAAGACACCGCTGTCTGCAAGAGTTATTGAAAGACAACCAAAGAAGTTTCCTAATTTCATTTTTACTGGAACGAGCACACACACACACGCACGCACGCACGCACGCACGCACGCACGCACGCACGCACGCACGCACGCACGCACGCACGCACGCACGCACGCACGCACGCACACACACACACACACACACACACACACACACACACACACACACACACACACACACACACACACACACACACACACACACACACACACACACACGAGCACAGCAAGCTTTTCGGCCCATCAAACCCCAAAAGATGCAACGTTGACCTCATAGCGAGCTTGACCAAGTTAAGGTGCAATATATTCCATTTGAGACAGGCTGTGGGAATCTATATGTATAAAACAGGAGCTTCCCTTACGGCTAAGTTTAACGGGGAAAAATGTCAAAATATCAGAACTTTGATATCGCGTTTGACAACCCTTTGACAAAACTTCTACAAATTTGACATTTGACACAAAATGTCAAAACCGTCAAACTCTCATAAAATTGTTACAACGTTAATGGAAATTTTGAAACAGAAAGCAAATGAAATAAGTCTGGCACCATTTCCCACGCCCTCCCCCTTTCCCCCAAAAAACTGTTCGATACGTCCGATCTCTAAAACATTGAGATTAAGATAATGGCGCAATGGAAGGGCAGCCTAGCCAGCCAACAAGGCGCAGCGGCCGTTGCCGGCGCGACTTACCCCTGTCCGCACTCGGAGCAGACGTACGGCGTCTCCCCGGTGTGGCGCCGCAGGTGCTCTGTGAAGTGCGACTTGTGTCGGAACTCGTGGCCGCAGCTGTCGCAGCGAAACCGCGTCTTGTGCGCGTGGATCAGCATGTGGTAGTCCAGCGACATCTTCCTCGTGAACGACTTCTGGCACAGATCGCACGTGAACTCTTTGATACCTGTGACGCAGGGAGACGCGAGGTTATTCCTGTGACGCGGAGAGACCCGAGATACCCCTGTAACACGGAGAGACGCAAGGCTATCCAGGTGTCAGTACGCATCGTGAGTGTAAATGCCGACGGTCAGGCCGCGAAAGTTTATCACAAGCTGTTTTTCATAGAACACAACGCGACTGTCCCCAAGGGTCTCTAGCGCCGACTAGTGCAACATGGACATTCAACCTAGCAGCTCGGTCGCGCAGGTGGGCCACTTTACTCTGAACCAACATGCTTTGATAGCACTCAAGTATGTCGGAGAGCCATATACGCTTCACACATGTTACGCATCAACAACGATGACACACGAGCGGCATCGTCTTATCGTTGCACGCGGCTGAGGGCATCGGTGATCCGT